AGAGGCACAGTCAAATAAACAGCTTAAGAAATTGGACCCACATCTCATTAAGACACAGTATGGTTTGATTTATGGTTAGCATACTGCCGGAACCCAGTTGCTGTGGCCCCTCTTCAGCAAAACATGGCTTCATCGCTCTGTGAACCAACCAAAGCAATTCCTTATGATTCTGCAAAGAACTAGAAGCAACAGGAGAGAACACTATCCTCTTATTAAAATAAATTCTGGAGTTAAATGTGGTTTGAACCTGCATTAAGAGTCTGCTTTTCATTCTCTTTCAATAGCCTCTTTGAAGATGCAGACCATCTTCTGGTTCAAACATGTAAGACAAATCATAATTAAAACTTTACACATCCCATTAAATCTTGTGTGATTCTAAGGCTCGTGGCTTATAAGAGTATAAAGCTAATATAGGTCCTTCTCTTGATGTACCTGTGATCCCAACCAGTGCATCAAACACTGGTGGGTGAACCTCTGAGATACTCTATAAAAAGTCTCCATAATATGATCCAATTGTTTTGTAGCACGGCCTTCAGATCATTCCTATTGTTGTACACTGCTTTTTGGAAGTTCTGGAAGAGAAGTAATTTGAAGCATGTCATGCTATGCCATACATATCCTATTGCAAGCCATCCCCTGCCATCTCTGCTACATACTGTAGCAGAGTTGTTTTAATTTTTATTTTCTCTCTGCAAAGAATTTTGCATGATCTGGAGTATTATACAGATATGTGTAAATTAATCTACTGTTGCAGAAAGTACTTAAAAGTGGTTGATTGGCTTGATTTGAGAAGGAGAAGGTGTGAAAGAGGATAGAAATAGCTAGACCAGGAGTAGGCAACCTTGGCCATGCTGGCTCAGGAATTCTGGGAGTTGAAGTCCATGAGTCATAAAAGAGCCAAGGTTGCGTACCCCCGAGCTAGACCAACCATCCAGATGTTTCTATTATAGGAGGCAATAGATAGACAATGTCAATTCAATACAGCAGTTCTTGGCTGACCAACCCTTTTGTCCCTGTTAAAAATTGTGTTTAGAATTAAAAATTAAGTATAGTGTGGCCTTCTAAATTTCAGGACCTAGACCAGTGGTGGCAAACCTATGGCACGAGTGCCAGAGACAGCCCTTGGAGCCCTCTCTGTGGGCACACGTGCCATTGCCCCAACCTTGCCTCCCCCCGCAACCCCCTCTTCAGCAGCCGTCCTCGCCCTTGAGACCCGCCCTTAAGCATGGCCCTCACGGAGCAGCGCAGCCAAGGACATGGCAGCCAGGCAGCATAGACAAGACTCTGCCCTCACATCCCATCATGCAGTTGATGCTGCAGGGCGCGGGCAGAGCGTGTGGCCGCCATAGAGCTGCTGGGCTGCCTGGGCAATCTGCGGCGGGCCCTGGAGGCAGTGAGTGGTCCTGTGGGCAGGCGAGGGGGGGATGGGGGGGCAGAGTGGGGGCGGGTAGGGGGTGGAGCCGGGGCAGGGCCAGTTTTGGGGCACTCGGTCTCTAAAAGGTTCGCCATCACTGACCTAGACAAACTTGCTTCTGAAAGCCCACCGCAAAACTAAATTTGATTTTATGGATGTGTAATTTCTTTTTTTTTTTTTTTTTTTTTTTGAAAATATGGTGCATCCTTCTCTCCTACTCTGATGTGTACCTTATTCCCTTCTTTTTCCCCTGGCCTTTTGTTGAAGTTATGTATGACTCAGAATGCCACATGTGAGATTTTTGTACCATGAGAAAGACACATGGGCTAACCTAGTCTCCAGCCCTGGAACTTGTGAGGGAAGAGGGAGTGAGGAAGAGAGATGACAAACATAATATTTATGCAAAAATCCAATCCAGCTGTTAAGGCTGAGAACCAACAATTCCTCAGAAGGATCAGCAAGGAGGAGGAGGAGGGTAGGACAGCCAAGATGAAACACGGTGGAGGCTTAGCACCGACTTAGCTTCAAGGACTACAATGACAGATATACAAACTTTACCCAAATTTATTTAGAAAACGCCCTCTAAGGAAATCAATCCTTTATACATATACTCTTCTTTCCATACAGTGATGCATCCAAAGAATGTATATTTATAAAGTATACAACTTTATAAGCATTCAGCTTTCCTCTACCCTAATTCCAGGGCTATCTTCAAACCATGGTAGGCCATACTGTTCAACCATGGTTTGTGGGATGAAGTATGATTAGATTTGCACAAGACAAGTAAGTTCATCCCACCCAAAATAAAAATAGTAAAGTCTCTTTTCATCAACATCAACTCATAGAAACTTTATGGACACATTCTTGTCACTTTAGCAACAACATGAGTTACATTTTGGTTTATTATGCTATATAGCAGACATGTCAAACACAAGGCCCGGGGGCCGGATGCGGCCCACGACATGGTTTCATATGGCCTGCAAAGCCATCCTGGAAATAGTGAGGGAATGGCCCCCGCTGTCTTGGCCCTGGCCCAGGCCAGCCGGGAGCCAATGTACAATTTTGTGGTGGCCATCTATGCTGAAATGCATTCAGTCTTAGCTACACAAGGCCGTCTGGAAACAGCAAGGGACTGGCCCCTGCTGCGTCGGCCCCGCCCCCTGGGTGCATGCTGGGGAGGTGTCACCCTTTGTGAGGAATGAAGAAATGCACCATCGCCTGGAAGTGGCCAGCAAATGGCCCTCGCCTACTTCACATATCTGGCTTGATGGCTCCGGGGGAGAGGTTTCGGCAGGCTCTTCCAGTGGATTATGCCTTGGCGCTTGCCCTGGTCCCACCCCCCTTCTGCCAGAGACACTCAGATCTGTCCCATTCCTGCCCAAGCCCCCACAGGCACCCTTGACGCAAATGATGTAGAGCTGGCCATGCCCACCCAGTAGGCCACACCCGCCCACCCTGGCCACATCTACCCACCCCCGAGGACAACCGCAATGCTGATGCAGCCCTCAATGAAATTGAGTTTGACACCCCTGCTATATAGTACTTGCTTAAGTCTCCCCCCCAACCCCAAATTTTCCATCTCACATACCAAACCAATATTTCATAATGTGACATGAATTTCCAACGAGGCTTAGCAAGCTGAAAAAATCCAGCTATGTAAACCATAGCATATTGTGGGGTATGCTGCACAAAATCATTGAAAGACGGTCTAGTCCACAAATGATTGATATTGCAATGGGTGAAATTGCTCACATGTTGCCCCTGAAGCTATGGAACCTGTTTCCAGCCTCTGACCCCACACACACACACACAGGGGATTTAGTGAATGTGTTACCAACAGAAGTGAATATTTGTAGCTCACAGTTCGGCTTGGAGTCCTCGATGACAGCACTGATGATGTTACCTAGTTGGTAATAAAAAAAACTCTGCAAGAAAACAGAGCTCAGAGAGGACAAGCACCCCACAGTGCAATGTGTCCACCTAGAACAGGGATAGGCAACCTCTGCTCTTTTATGACTCATGGACTTCAACTCCCAGGAATTCTGGGAGTTGAAGTCCATGAGTCATAAAAGAGCAGAGGTTGCCTACCCTTGACCTAGAAGCTCCAACTAGCCTCAACGTCCCTCTCTTGGTTACTTCTGGACAATTTTGCATATGCAATTTTGACAGACCACCATTTGCTATGATTTGATGCTGATTGTAGAATTGTCCAACTGATGTAATTAGTTGCAATAAGCAAAAGTAAAAGCAAAAGCTTGAATTCAGCTTCAATACATCAATACCTATCCATCGACTTCAAGGGTCTCCAAGCTTGACAACTTTTAAGATTTCTGGACTTCAAGTTCCAGAATTCCTCAGCCAGCCATGCTGGCTAGGGAATTCTGGGAGCTGAAGGTCACAAGTCTTAAAGTTGCCAAGTTTGAAGAACCGCTGATTTACTTTAACATGAGATACAACTCACATTTTTCTCCATTCTCTTTCCTTGGACCTTGGAATTTAAAAAAAATATCCAGCAGGGAAGTGCAGAAGGAGAGAACAGGGACTGTAAAGGACTCATCAATATATCCCCGGACACAAGTGTAAATGTTTCCAGCTCTGGTTTTTTTCTTTTAAAAAAAAAAAAATCCAATCTCTCCAAGATGAGCAGCAGAATCTTTTTCATAATCCTGTGCTTTGAAACACAAACCCCATGTTGGGTTTTTGAATTAATGCAAACCACAATGACACCCAATTTTTCCCAGGCCAAGGTTCACGTTTTGACATCTTCTCCAATCTATACCAGGACTCTTCCCAATCCAGCAATGGACTTGCTAGCAACCAATCTGCTCAAATCTTTAGAACTCAGCATTGCCTATAAAATCCTAAATCCGCTCAAGAATCCATTTCAGATCCCTTCAAACAAAATGCAAAGTCTTATGTGGCTTGACTCTAATACTTTGTTTATTCCATTCCTTCAACAAAAAAGACCTCCCAGCCCAAATATCAGTAGCAGCAATCTAGACATAATACATCCTGTCAACTCAGGCAGCTGTAGTGGATATAAATACATATTTTACAAATCTGGACATAATACGAACACATAAGCATCTAATTCCTCTAGGGCTAATTGCCAAACTGCTTTACAAGCCTCTCTGCATTAATGCTTTCATTGAGGGAACAACTTGAGTAGAATCTCAATACTGAAGCAGCAGATAAAATTACATTAGCTGGAAGAGAAATACTGGGAGTTGAGAAGTAACTATAGAAACACAAATATAGAGATGGGCCAATTTGCTTAATTTATCTTGCTAGCAGAGTGCAAGAGACCAAAAAATTCTCCCTTTCAAAACCCTGATGATGCTATATTAGCTTTGCCTAGGAGCCTAATCTACGAAATCTCAGAAGAACGTGGGCATAATCTTCTTTCAAATATCATTGTTTATGTGAAAAACTTACAACACAGAGAAGATCTTGTCAAATTTCAAGGGCATTTTTTGTCTTGTCGAAAGCGGAGCTAGGACTCACAGTCTCCCAGTTTTTAGCCCGGGACCTTAATTACTAGACAAAACTGGCTCTTAACATTTCAATTAGATAAATTGGATCTTACTGATCATAGTGGTGCCTCCAGCCAAGGCTGCTTTTGTTCCTTGAAAGAAGTCATCAGCAGAGGTCATTCCTTGGTCCGGCATTTGGAAACGGGAATGGACATCAATTCCTCCAGGGATCACCATTCGTCCATGAGCCTCGATGGTTTTTACCCCTCCTGGCACAATGAGGTTCTCCCCTATTTGTCTGAGATAAGAGGCACTCTGGTATCAGTATCATAAGCACAGAGAGAAGCACAGGTTCTATCTATCGTTCTATCTATCTATCTATCTATCTATCTATCTATCTATCTATCTATCTATATGTAGGTCTTTGGTTATTCGGGTTTTCTCCCACGTAAAATTGGTAGTGTCCTGGCGACGTTTCGACGAAGTCCCATTCGTCATCTTCAGGCTGGTGTTTTCAGCTTCGTGCTCCTCGAAGCACGAAGCTGAAAACACCAGCCTGAAGATGACGAATGGGACTTCGTCGAAACGTCGCCAGGACACTAAAAGTTGTCTTATACGCCGGAATATACAGTGTGTGTGTGTGTGTGTGTGTGTATATATATATATATATATATATATATATATATATATATATATATATATGTGTGTGTGTGTGTGTGTATGTGTGTATATATCACCCTCCCGGTGATTGTATTTTATTCTTTTATTCATATATATATATATATATATATATATTACATCAAATGTTAGGGCAGCCAAGACCATAGGGAGAAATCAGATACTATGAACATACGATAGTTTGATTATGATCTTCACTGCCTTCCAATTTGCTCCTAGTCCCAACTGAAAGTACAGATAGTCCTAAAATTACAACCATGTGTTTAATGGTTAGTTGAAGTTACAACAGCACTGGAAAAAAAGTGACTTTCAATTGTGACTCACACTTTCAACGTTGCAGCATCCCCAGTCATGCGCTCAAATTTTGGGCGCCTGTCAACCGGCATGTTATTTATGATAGATGCAATGTCATAGTCACAAAATCGCCATCTGCAACCTTCCCAGGCAGCAAAGTCAATGGAGAAAGTCAGATTCACTTAACAGCCTGTTCTGGAATATCCTTCCAAAAAAGATGTGCCTGGCACCATCTTGGCTGATTTTTCAGTCCCAAGCGAAAATAAGACCTTATTTCGTAAGTTAATTTTAAAGTGTACTGATCATGTAGACCTTTTAATTATTCCTGGTTCCCCAACTCCAAAGGTTCACCTAACAAACTGACTTCCGTCTAGATGTACTGAATGAGAAACCCTTCACTCATACTGCATTTTATAGACTGGCATCCAGGACAGCGAATTTGAGAGGTTGCAGGCAGATTAAGGGAAAGTCTTAAAAGTCTCAGATTTAGAGCGAAGATGCAAACTCAAAAGGCTAACATTGATTTATTCTAGTCCAGTCTGCAGCCTTTTTTCTTCCACTCCTAATTACCAGATAGCCTAAACCAGTGGTGGTGAACCTATGGCATGCGTGCCAGAGGCGGCACTCAGAGCCCTCTCTATGGGCACTCACACCATCACCCCAGCCCCGCTTCCCCCTGCGGCCCCCTCCTCACCAGCAGCCCCCCGCAGGAGAATCGCCCCCTGGTGTGGCCCACATGGAGAAAGAAGCGCAGCCAAGGACATGGCAGCCGGGCAGCGGGGACAAGACTCCACCCTCACGCTCCGTCACGCGCAGATGCTGCGGGGCACGGACGGAGGGCGTGGCTGCCATGGCGATGCTGGGCCACCTGGGTGATCTGCGGTGGGCTGTGGAGGTGGTGGGTGGCCATGCGGGCAGGGCGGGAATAGGGTGGGGGCGGGATGGTTCTTGGGCACTCGGTCTCTAAAAGATTCACCATCACTGGCCTAAATGTCTATGGAGATTCTCAATCATCCAAATCATGGCTGTCAGAACTGCAGACGCTTCTAGGATGAGAAATGAAACATTTTCAAGGAGAAAAAAAGAAAAGAAAAACAAGAAAATCCCAAATGCCTTTAGAAAAACACCTTTGGGAACTGCCAGATAGCCTCATGAGAGTTGCAGCAAATGTCTTGAATTGCCTCTCGCTGCAGACCCTGGAGTGCAATTTTTATACTCCTAAAGCACAGCACGTACAGCACCAATTCAGTAACAGCCCAGAAGCCAAGTAAGAAATGCTGCAATTGCTCTTTACAGTTCAGTTCCTCACAAGAGATTTCCATCCAATAGGCAGAAACGCCAGAATCTACGTGCTGTCAAAAGCACCAAAGTCTTCCAATTCTGGCCAATCTTTTCAATCTCTGTGGTCATCCTTTAATCTATGTTTATATATTTGGACTACAACGCAATGGAAGTTTTCTCTGTGGCAGACTACGATAAAATTTAATGACCCCGCTCTCAGGGACTCAACCCAAAATCGCTTTTTTTTTCACCTTGTATCCCTAAGCAAGAAGTGAGAAAAAAAAGCGATTTGGGGTTGAGCCCCTGAGAGCGGGGTCATTAAATTTTATCCCTAAGCAGAAACTCAAATACTTTAGCCAGCTACTGAGAAGGAAGGACTCCCTGGAGAAGGGTCTAATGCTGGGAAAGATTGAGGGCAATAGAAGAAGGGCACGACAGAGAATGAGGTGGCTGGATGGAGTCACTGAAGCAGTAGGTGCGAACTTAAATGGACTCCAGAAAATGGTAGAGGACAGGAAGATCTGGAGGAACGCTGTCCATGGGGTCGCGATGGGTCGGACATGACTTCGCAATTAACAACAACATCCCTAAGCATCGGTTAAGTTTTATCTCAATGTTTCTGTGGAGCCCAGCATGTTTCTACGAGAAAACATTTTTTATTTAATTCCATAACAGAAACAAAATCATAGGGTACTTACTTTATCAACCCATCTTCCATATAAATGTCTGCGTAGAAGGACTGGTCATCGTTGACTATTTTCCCTCCTTTGATCAAAAGGCGATCACTCTGAAACACAAAGGAATCAAACAATGCATCAACAAGAACAAAGGATTGGATTTAACAGGAAAATAGAATAGTAGCATTTGATGGAACCTGGGAGGTCTTTTAGTCCAACGCCCTTCTCAAACAGATCTTATACTATATTCCAGACAAATGGCTGTCCGGTGTCTTCTTAAAAATCTCTAGTGATGGAGCACCTACAACTTCCAGAGGCAAGCCATCCCACTGATTAATCGTTCTCACTGTCAGGAATTTTCCCTAGTTCTAGGTTGAATCCCTCCTTTATAAGTTTCCATCCGTTACTTCTTGTCCTGGCCTCAGGTGTTTTGAAGAATAGGTTGACCCCTTCTTTCTCTGTGACAGACCCAGATGAAGAGAGAAAGTATCTCTGGATGATTCAGAGGGCATTCCATATACTGTAAAACACTCAGCTACTTTCAACGCAAAACAGTTCAGAATCACAAATAAATGCCTTTCAGTCATCTGCCCCTTAAGTGTGCTTTCAAGAAAAAAAGAAGCTGCATTAACTGGTTGACCTATTTTATTAAACTACATCCACCAGTTAAAAATATGTCCAGAATCCCAAAAGGGTAAGGCAACTGTGCCGTTTTAAAAAGGGAGGTGAACGTTCTCCTATAAAAATGCTAATTTTGCTGCCAGGTTTCTTCCTGAAAGCACCCACAGTTAACCCACTGAGGTTAAAATCTTCACTGGATTCTTTCTAGTTAAGGGCTGTCAAGGAAACTGACCAAAAGCCTGTTGCCATGGAAGTTGGCATGCCAAACAGATTTTTCCCAGCTGGATTTTAGCAAGGTTTGAATCAAACAGATTGGCTCACCCTTCTGATGAAGCTACTGCATGTTCCAGAGAAAACAAATCTGTTCACAGTCATTAGATAAGCTGGACAGGGGAGAAGGAACACAGCTAAACAACTGCATTTCTTCCAGATGACATTGTTCTGCAGGAACCGTTGCCATTCAGTTAGCAAGCTCCTTCTTAACAACCATTACATTAAGATGCGGCTTGTTTCTCATTTGTCTGTCTTGTTTTGAGTTTTCTGGAAGGAAGAAGCTTGATCAATGTCTGTTCGTGACATCTGGATATTATGCTGCCAAGCCTTTCTACTGCATGGCAACTTATCAAGAAAATGGACTAAACACATCTTTAGCAGCGTCAGTGCTCTAAAGGGACCATAAACTGGCTGCCTCTGAGCAATTTTCCAAATAGTTCAGAGCTTAGCATTTGGGTTGAAGCCTATTCTCCCATCTCCCACAAGTTTTCTTCCCTAACAAAAAAGACCCCCGTTTTGGAAGTCCTTCGCAGGATGCTTTAGATCAGAGGTCCCCAACCTTTTGGGCACCAGAGACGGGTTCCATGGAGAAGGGTTTTTCATGGACCGGAGAGTGTGTGGTTTTGTGTGCTGCCTGCATCTCGTGGATGGGGCTTTGCTTGTTTGTGCGGACCAGTTGCTGGCATGCCACAGACCGGGGATTGGGGACCGCTGCTTTAGATAGAATATTACTGGTGTCCTTTTTTGAATACATTTGTTATTAAGATAGAGCTAGCATTACAGGTCCAGTCCCCTAAGGAGGTATATCTGGCAGGATCCAGAAGAAAGGCCTTCTCCATAGTGGCTCCCACCTTCTGGAACATAATCCTTACAAAAATTAAACTGGCCCTCACTCTGACACTCTTTCGTAAGACCTTGAAGACGTGGTTTTGCCAGTGGGCCTGGGGTACCCAGAATGGGATGGAGCCCATTACATGGCTAATTTGAGTGTTTGTTGTCGCTGAGAGGGATGGGGGATTATTATTTTATTTTTATTTTTTATACATTGTGTTTTTATTGTCTGTAAGCCACATAGAGTGGCTGTAAGTGAGTGGGTGGCTATATAAATTCTCTAAAATAAATAAATAGTATGATTGCTGCTAGGTTGGGGTTGGGCTTGTCTGTTATATGCTTTTTCTGCTTTTACAAACCAGCATCCTGGGAGATCTAAACAGCTGAAGAAAGGATTGTGGGTTGTCCAATGGAAGATAGGAATACAAAGAAAAGCACACACGCCCTGCCCTTTTTATCACTCCAGCAAGTAGCGCAGCTCTCCATCCAACTTTTAAGTACCCTTGTAATTCCAAACATTATTCCCCTTTTGGAAAACAAAATAAAACTTATTTATTTTACTTCAGTCTGAAAGAGAATAGTTTTTTGAAAATCCTCAGATATAAATGTGCACTTATATAAACTTATCACCCTAATTAGTTTGGTTCCTGAAGCAGTGAAAGCCTAGCTGCTCTTTTGTTTCTTACTTGGAATGTTAAAGATAAACGTTCTACTTAAAAAAAGATAAAGCAAAACCCAGAAGATTTTAACAGGTTTATTTATTTTTTATAAACTGTAATAGAAGCAAAAGCTTAATTTAATAGACTATCTCTCTCTTGCTCCCGTTTGTCCATTAAATTGCAAATGTCCAACTGTGTTATAAATTACATTATTTGTAATGTAATTTGCAACTTTTGTGTTATGAAACCATTATGCAAATGATATAAATCATCACAAATGATATAATCTGCATCTTTTGCATAATGACACCATGCAAAAGTGGGAGGTGCGCCCGCAGCTCACACACATGGAGCTGTGCACACGCATGTGCGCTTGCCACTCACACCCCACCCACCCCAAACCCATGCCGTGCCCCCAAGCTGGAAAGGTTGGGGACCACTGGTGTAAGGCATATGATTTTCGTGAGGATATTACAGTTAAAACTCTGGAATCTGCAGCTTTTAAGTATCTCAAGAAGCATAACATCTGCCTCATAATTTGGATATGGGAAAGTAAATGCTAAATATTATGGATTAATTCTAGCCAAAGACAACTCAATGTGTTCAAATGCAAACTTATGCAATCAGTGCATTGTCACACCTATATTGGGCAAGAAAGAACTAAATCTTTCAAAGAGGTACAAACAGCTGCATGTCTTGCTTTCCATCCTGGATTCCATCCTGGATTCCATGAAAGCTTTGGCTGTGTTTTTTATTTTTTGGGCTGCCATACAGGACAACACTGTCTACAGGCATGTTACAAATATATAAAATGTGATCTACAAACACTGAAATATAAAAAAGCCAAGAGCAAGAAGGAAAATTAACATAAATTCCCTCAACCCTACCTGTATTTTAAAAAAGAAATTGGATTAAGGCTACTACTTCAAAGGACATCTCTCTTAAGATCTTTTAACCTGGTCAGCCCAAATGATGAGCTAAGCAAGCAGAATCTCTGATGCAAATCTTCAGGGCCTAGATCTGTCCCACACCAAAAGCTTAAGATCAAAGTCCTTCCTAAAAGAAGACCACGGAAATTGTCCTCAAGACCTTCCCTTAGTGATTAATTTCCAATTGGATCCAGGTTGCAAGCTGGATCCATCTGAAGGCATCTTGTCTACATCAGTAGACAAATCTACTCAGCAACAGAGAAAATGGCTATCCATCTCTGGAATTGATTCAGAACAGTTGAGTGGACATCCAATTCTTACTCACCTACTAGCAGCTCTGGCAACTGTTAGTTTGTTTACCACAAAAAAAAGTTTGCTGTACAAATATAACTGTTGCATGCTAATCTCCTTACCTAATGTGTCTTAGAGCAGGATGAATTCATCTCTGCTTTCTCACATCTTGGAAAAAACATGGGAGAGGTTCATACCCATCTGCAGTTGGCCTCTAACCACTGACCAGTTTTACACAAGCTGGGACTAGCGTCGGGGGGAGAAAAAATTAATACCTTCTTGAACTAGAGTACAGTCAGATGTCTCTATGAGCATTTTTCCAAATGTTGTGATGCAGTTGATGTCACCAAACAACATGCAGAAAAAAATTATACACGAGGAAGCAGCACATGCAAAATAATGTGTGTTAATATAATTCAGATTTTCCTATAAAAATATATATTACAAACTGACAAGGCTGACAAACACTGGCCTTAAATTAAATTAAGCAGGACAGATTCACTCACGTCTAGTTAACGTACAAAAGTTCCCTTAATCTCTCACAGTCTCACCAGCAGAGATTAAGGAATCAGATGTTGCTTGAGCTCTTTATTGCACATTACAGACTCTCATTTTAATCCCAAGAAAAGATCTATTTAGTTGGAGAATTATATATTCTCTGACACATAAAAACCCCACATACATAACTTCTGAAAGAAGAAGCTTCAGAAAAAGCCCTTTGGTTTCCTGTTTGCCCGAGACACAGAAGAAGCTACTAATATAAAATAATGAATTCATACACGAGTTAAATTACATCATTAACCAGCGTTTTAAAAAGATGGCGGAAGGGACTTTACAGGTCTTCTAATTCAACCCTCCAGCTCCAAGATTCACTACAGCAGCTGACAAATAACTATCTAGCTCCTATCTGAAAACCTCTAGGAAATACATTCCTGCTTTTCCTGTTCATATGTTTATTAAGTAATAATGAGCACAATTAGAGATATAATATCTTCAGGAACTGCAATGCAACAAGAAAAAAATATTATCTTCCCTCCTCCCCAAAAATATTTAGGAAAAATTGAAAACTATGCAAATTTTTTAGCTGTCATTACTGGTTAAAAAAAAAAATCCTTGATAACTAATGTATTGTGTGTAACTTACATCTGTTCATAAAAGTATGGGCAACATCTAATGAAGTTTAAGGACTTTGATATCTGATGGGAAAGAGTTCTGAAACAAAAGGCAGCAAGCAAAAGCAAAGTCATCAGCAAAAGAGGATTGCTGTGAGAATCCGTGCCAATACCTTACAGAAGAAGGATATTCTGTTCTTATATCTGACAAATTATATCTTGTCCTTACATCCCTGTAAGTTGACTACTGTAAATAATCTTACCCTAAAGTCTTTCTATTGCATCCTTAATATGCCTTTCAATTGCATCCATAACCTGATTCTGGAAATCATATTATGAAGTGAAGCCTAGATGGTATTTTTTTAAAATCATTTTAGGTATCATGTCTTAAAGACTTGGAAGTGATTCCTAATGTTTCAACTGCATCCAGGAAAGAGGGAAACGAGTATGCGGAGAGAGGACAGGAGAAAGTAAAAGCTTAGTTGCTCTTATAGCTCCTCCATCCCATCCCATTGAGTAATTGTGGGGAAGTTCTACACTAGACTACAACCATCCTGAAGAAATGCAAGAGCTTTCTTACGGTCTTGTGTGGAACCCATGTCAATCTAAAAGCCTTGCTAAGACCATTTCTTTAGATGACCTTTCTCTTGTAGGGACAAAATATAGATTATCTCTATGGGAATAGCATATTGCGATTTGATGAGTAAATCCAATCCCTAGGCTGATTAGCAGCTTCTAGTCCACAGTTTAGAGCAGGTTGATAAATGGATCAGAAATGTTAAGTTGGGACATGAGGAGATGGCAAGCAAGAGTTCTCAAACTGGGAACAAGAAGTCGAAGGAGGGGCATCAATAAATTAAGGTCGCACTCATTCTATTTGGATGACCCAGGATTCCCACTTGACAGCTCTTCCCGCACTGTCCCCAGAGCAATCTCAACCTGGTCCTCACACCACCCATAATGACCCAGCCAGAATCTAGGCACTCTTGCCTGGTCTAGCCTACTCCTCCTTCCAAGGTGACTCTTGCTGAACTATTTTTTGGAGGGTGTCACCCTGAGCTGGACATTGAATCCGCATGTCCAATGCAGGCACTCCAAGTATGCTAGCTTCCTACTGTAAAGCATCTGTCCAGAAAAAGAAGAGAAAGCACAGCACTCAAATTAATTAGAAACCCTAGACTAGGGCTCCGAATATCTGAAGGACCTCTTGTTTTCTTTTCCAGGAAGGGGAGATACTCTTAAAGAAGTCCTCCTTTTCTAAGATCTGTTTACCAAACCTATCGTCTCATGCTTCTCCCAAGTGATGGAATGCAGCTTTTTCAACTTCTAGAAAGGATAAAGATCTTCTTTAGGCAGTTCAATTAATCTTAATTGTCATTTTAATTGTTGTTTTTTTTAATATTTTAAGGTCTTTTTAAACTTTTGGCTACCTTGCCTTGGAGCAAAAAGACAATGCATAGAATATTTGTATGGGGAAGTTTCCATTCTTCTTGAGGACCTGCAGAAGGAAGACCACCAAGTTACATTCCAAAATTAACAGTGAGGTCTCCTAGTGATGACTTGGTAACAGCATTTGTGGATTGTATGACAGCAGGCCTGTATGTGGATCGTATGAGTGTTTGATGGCAACTTCCTTAAGTTGACTTCCAGTAATGCACAAACAATCTGAAACCATGGCACCAAGTACCACAGAAAGCAGATCTCTGAGGTTCTGTAGATGAATCCAAGAAGTCAGTGATCAAGATTCAGAAGATTTAGTCCCTCGACTTTCTTCTGAGCCCACTAGTATAACCTACAATTTGCTCTCGATATCACAACAGTCAATTTTTCTCCTAATTAAGGCAAGCTGTGCATGTGCCCTACAGTGACAGTGTGATACTTCAGATCTGAGTTCTGATATTCTTACTATACAGATTACGATTGTCTATTCAACTGTGCTGCAATTGAATTCCATGGCTTTAATCCTAAAGCAATTTAGCCTAAAGTAGATTCTCTTTTAATACATAGTTAGTGACTTATATTTACACTCTAGGTTCACGTAGTTTGGCTTTAAGTTAGTGTGCTATGGGGTTCCCAGATAGTTTGGCTTGTAAAGCATAATTTATGGCTTTGTGCAATAGGTAAACCTAACCAACTGCAGCTTATTTAATGCACTGTCATAAAACCAATCACAGCTTAATATAATAGTGAATTCTGGACAACGCAGCAAATTTAAGCCAAAGGAAGAACCATATAAAAGAAGAGCTTTTACCCTTTAAAAATCTACACATCTTCAATTGAAGCCCCATATATTTGTCTCATGTCTCCTCTCCTTGACATTAAGGTTCTCCTACAACTCTAAACACATTTCAGTAAGATATTTCTGCATTCTGACATATGTGCACATTATCTGCTAATCTGCATCAAGGGACTCATCTCTTAAGGGTGTTTGGTTTCTGAAATTTGTCACGTTTCAAGGAAACTAATTAAATATTGTCTTCAATCCACAGCTCACAACTTCTGAGCCAAGCTTAAATAAAGTGTCCTGAGCCAGAAGAACTATGACTTTGGGTTGGGAAGGGAGGAACTGAGAAAGGCCAAGTGTAACTCAAACAAAAAAAAAGTCCAGAAAATATAAAGGTCATTAAACATATATAAAGGTGCACTAACAACAGCCCAGTAAACCTCGTTCTTGTTGTTGTTTATGCTGCAGATAAAACTCTGGTGCTATAAAGTAAACAAAATTCATTCCCACCACGATCCAGGCTTCTGTTAATTGTTGGATAAAAAAGCATTTGCTTCCAGGGAAAACAGCCTTTGTGCAAAATCACGTGCTCAACCCTTTTCCATTGTTGTAACACCATTAACCCTGCGGAGCTAAAATAGGCTTCTCTGCCAAAAAGAAACAGATCAAAGGATTTCCCCTTTTCCATTTGAGTATTGTTATCAATCCTGCGTTGTCAGATTTTTCACCACCTTCATAAAATGGAAATAAAGCATGTCTCCGAAGGCCTGCATTATCCTCAGGAGCCTGGTGGCACCATCAGACCAATACGATTCTCTCGTTCTCTTTCTTCCGTGCATTATCTTTGGTAGATCAGAAATCTCGGATCTGAATACTCTGTGATCATATAAGTTCAAGCCCTTGTGTGGAAGAGAGGAGAGGAGAGGAGAGGAGAGGAGAGGAGGAGAAGCGAAGAGAAGAGAAGAGAAGAGAAGAGAAGAGAAGAGAAGAGAAGAGAAGAATCTTCCATATCAAGATTCACCTTTGAAGCTTGACATAAACCTGCTTTGAAAGGAACAGCCCCAGGATACTTGGCTGTCAAATAAAAGGGAAGCCTCTTCCATTTTCCGAACATCAAATCAGTGCTAATGATAAAGAAATCAATCCTTATGCTAACACCCAGCCATCATCACTAATGCAAGCTCCCATCCAACCGCACACGTTCTCTGGACAAGCCCATCCCTTCCCATCATCCGACTTTTATGTAACTGTTCCATTTCCTCTCCCACTTTCGGATTCAGAGAGGAAGGCATCCAATTTGCTCTAAAAAAAAGGAGGGGGGCTGGATGAGAGGGAAGGAAAGGTGGCCAGATGGGGAGGGGACACCTTCCCCAGAAGTGTTTCTTTGCTGGGCAAGGAGAGCCAAGGATAAACCCAGTCCCCCCCCCCCAGAGAACACTTCATTCGCCCAAGCGCCATTACTGGGAGGGGGGGTCCAGGCTTCTCATCCAAGGCTTGCTTGCACTGCCTCCTTTGTATGAATAAAAAGGGAGGGGGACAAAAAAGAAAGCTGGGAGGAGGTGGGTGGGGACACCAGAGGAACCTGCACACCACTCCCCCCTCCTGTTCCCTAACCTAAGGGGGGGGGGAGTCAATGGAGCTGCCTTAAAGCAGATTATACCCACTACTAGATGTTGCAGCCCGCTTGTCTGCATGCAGTCAGGGAGGCAGTTTTCCTGCCACAGCCCCCAAATCCTGGCCGTAGGAGAGCCATTGACACATATACACACACACACACACACAGAGAGAGAGAGAGAGAGAGAGAGAGAGAAGATGGGTTTGCAAAAACAAAAGGGCAAGGCTTCGATTGTCTTCCGCGGGAGAGCAGAAGAATCAAATCCAGAATTTTGAAGGTTTTGCCTTTTTTTTTTTTTTTTTTCAGAGCAAAGGCTTATAAAACCGCGTCGCCTGGCGGCGCGGTCACAGGACAAGCCCCTTTTCGCCTCTTAGTCCAAAAGGCTGGACTGTGAAATGCAACAGCCGTTCGCGGAGATGCGGCTGCCAGATCCGAAAGCAAAGGAGGTGGGGGGGGACACGCGAGGAAAGCAAGGGGGGGGGAAGGAAGGCAGGCTTCGTCGCTGCCCCACCACTGCCACTCCAAGGCAACCATTGTTTCATCCCGATCGAATCCCACTACCCGCGTTTTTAAAAAAATAAAAATTAAAAAAAAACAAACAAACCAAAACTTTTTATTTTCATCGGCGGGGCATCCAAAAAAGAAAAAAAAAAATCAGGTTTGGCGCGCTTCTTTCTTCTCCAGGGGTGGAAGAGCCTGCAAGCAAGCTGGCTGGCTGGCTGGCTTGCTTCACCCCCCCCCTTTTCCCGCTTCCCACCTTCCCTGCCGCAGATGTACACACAAAGGGCTTGACCCACCCTCCCGCACCGCCCTCGATCCGCTACCGCGCTCCGGCTTCGCCACTCACCGTGATGCGTGGAATGTTTTTCTTCCCTTGATAAGACATCCTCGCCCTCTCTCCCGGGGAAGCAACTCGCTCTCTCCCACGCAAGGCTTATTCCCGCCGCGAGCGAAAGGGGTGGAAAAAAATCGGTCGGTCCTCGGGGGGGAGGGAGGGAGGGAGAGAGAGAGAGACAAGGGGCAACGGGGGAGCTTTCTTGTTCCTCCCGAATTTAAAAAGCTACGATGGCGGGCTGGGGGGGGAAAAAACAACGGGGGATCGGGGGAGACCCCAACCGTTCTCCCTGCTTTTTTTTTTTTTTTTTGCACGCGTTAGAGCTGCAAGAGGAGGAGGAGGAGGAGGCGGCGAGGTGGCTTTCTGCACACAAAAGCGACAGGCCGTGCAAAGCCCGGGCGAGCTTGCAAAAATTCAACGCAATGAACCCCGCAAGGAGGAGAAGAAAGTCGCGGTCGCCTTTTCTTCCCTCGGCTGCTCCAAGCCCTGCCCAGCTTCAAAGCTGGCGGAGAGGAGGAGGAGGAGGAGGAGGAGGAGGAGGGAGGGAGGGAGGAGGATGGAAGCAGCGCAAGAAAATCGCCGCCGCCGCTCGCCAGCCAGCCAACCCGCCCAGCGAAGCCTCCGCACAAGGAAGGACCTGCCGCGCCTGCGCGCCCCGCCACGCCCTGGACTCTGTCCAAGAAGCGGGCTCAGGCCGCTCCGCCGCCAATCGGCGGTATGCAAATGACGGCCGCGGCCCGCCCAATGAGAAGCGCGCCGAGCGGTAACATGTAAAGTGGCGCAATGAAGCAGCCAGTGGCGACGCGAGGCTGCGGAGTGGGGCGTGGGGAGGGGAGGAGAGGAGGGGGGGAAACGATGGGTAGCGGAGGGGGGCGGTAGCGCGCAGGAGGACAGAGGCCGACCGGGCTGGGGATGGAGGAGGGCGGGTAGGCGCTGCAGGTTCAAGCGGGTAGAGAACGGGTGGAGAACGGGTGGCAGGGCTCCGGGGACTTCCGCGACGATCTGCATTAAAGCCACCCGCGGGAGTGGGGGGGGGGCGAGCTGATTGGTGCGATGCCTGCCTTTTCCTCCCCCCCACCGCCGCGGTCGCCCCCTTTTTCCCTGGAACGGGCAGCGTCTCCGGGCTCGCAGTCTGCGCCGCAAGCCGCGGGCGTTGCATGAGAGGCGAGGGCGCCAGCGGCAGCAGCCGCGGAAGGGCAGTTTTGCAGAGGAGTTGGAAGAGCGCGGCGCGGCGGCTGTCCACGCCCTGTTCTTGCCAGCCAGACAGGGGGAAAGGGGGGGGGGCTGGGTCTCCCTTGCCTTTGCTGGGCGCCTTCCCTCCCCAATTGCTTTCGAAAGAGGCGAGGGGCGTTTCGGACAAAGGTATGGTTGGGAGTTTTTGCAGCAGGAGAAGAAAAGACTGGACAGATCCGGACGGTCTGTCGCCCCCTCCCCTTTTTTTTCTTTTTTGTCTGCTCCTGGCATTGCTAGTCCCTTTTAGTGAAGCCCACTCCTCTTCCTTCTGTGCTTTATTTTTTAAAAAAAAAAAAATAACAGCAACAACAATAATAATAAACAATAATAATAATATAGGATTCCTTTTCCCAGTGTATAGTTTTGACTCCGAGCTTGAAATAGAAACGAAATTACGAAATTCTGGTATAAAACTAGGCGGAAGGAGGACCCGGTGAAGACGCCTCTCAATCGATCGATCGACAGAATATAAAAGCGATCTGAAGCAGAATAAACCCCGGGAAAGGTGTGTTCCCCTTAAAACCCCGAGTCTGGTGGGTCTGAAAACAGACGAGTCGGTTCACACGTGCAGCTAGGTCGCTTTTGGAGCAGCGGAAGGGTCTGCACGTGTGAATATTTAAGGAAAGCATTGTAGGCAGTATTGTAGTCAATCTGCGGTAGAAGCACAAAAATAATTGACCCTCTTTTAGAGAAAGGAAACTAATTAGAGGTGGCAAAGATTAATCCAGGTTGGACTTTACAAATAATCCTTCACTTTCTTACAACCACAATTGTGACTAGAATTGCCATTGCTGAACAATATGGTGGTTAAGTGAGTCACACCCAATTGGTGCGATCTTTGCCAGGGTTAAGTTATTCGCTGCAGTTTGGAAATGAAACACACAATCATTAAGTGAATCCTGGTTTCCTCATTGACCTAGCTTGTCTGGAAACCAGTTGGGAAGGGTGCAAATGGCGATCACATGACCAGGAGATACTGCAACCATCGTAAGTAAATGTAGGTTGCCAAGTGCTCGAATTTCGATCACTTGACCCTGGGGATGCTGCAACAGCCCTAAGTGCAAGAACTGGTTGTAAATCACGTTTTTTCCCATGTCATTATAACTCCAAAATTCACTAAACAAATGGTTATAAGCCAAGGACTACCTATAACAAATCATGCAAATAAGTCCCCCAAAAAAGTTACTAGTTTGCCAATGGTTTTAAAATAATTAGGTGGTTAATAAGTGCTTAGGTGCTTTATTAGTCAACACTGAAATGCAGGTAAGTAAAAAAAAGAATCTGCAAGGAATGGTGCAGTGAAACCTTTTTTCTCTACTCTGCATTTTGTGTTTTGTTCCAAGATCTCTTTCCCAGCACCCATCCAAAGGCAAGTGGCCAAGATTAATAGAGAACCCTTTTGCTCCTCTTGTCAAATGTAAGGAAATGTTAAATGATCAGACAAGGCTAATATTTGGAAACTCTAGAGCTGATCTACATAACCCATGAAAACCTGAAATGAAATGTTGAGGTCTTCCTGCCATGTTTTCACATTATCTGCACCCTTTACTGATTGATTTATTTGATGATTGCATCAGAAGGCACGACAAGAAACAATGGATGGAAACTAACCAAGGAAAGAAGCAACCTAAAACAGTGGTGGCGAACCTATGGCAAGGGTGCCAGAGGCGGCACTCAGAGCCCTCTCTGTGGGCACACGCGCTGTTGCCCCAGTCCTAGGCCTTCAGCTGGGTTTTATAAAACCTTTTCGCTTTAGGCCTCCACCGCTGTGTAAAAAAAAAAAAAAGGTTCAATCAATCAGTCAATTTCAACTTCTCGTGGGGGGAAAAAAAGATCTCGCAAAGTTGGAATTGATTGATTGAACTTTTTAGTCCCACCCAGTCTGCCGTTACCACCACAGCCATGCCCACCCAATGGGCCACACCCACCCAGCACCCAACGATGCATAAGTGGGTTTTGGGTTATAGTTTGGGCACTCAGTCTCTAAAACAGTGGTTCTCAACCTTTTTAATGCCACGACCCCCAACTGGTCGTAAGTCGAGGACTACTCAACTGGTGCAGCACCGTTTGCAGAATGGGACATTTGGCGAGCTCAGCAGGGCAGAGACAGCCTGGACAATTCCTATTGGCTTTTGAAAGCCAATAGAATTAGACTCTATTCAAGAGAGTCTATTCTATTGGCTTTCAAAAGCCAATAGAATAAAAGGGAGTAGCACAACTAAGGAAAAGGGGGGGGGGAAATGGCGGACTGTGTTGTTTGGTGACCCCCGTGAAATGGTCGTTTGACCCCAAATGGGGTCCCGACCCACAGGTTGAGAACCACTGCTCTAAAAGGTTTGCCATCACTGACCTAGAACTAAGGAGGAATTTCGTAACACTATCATACAAGTAGAGCAAGAATATACAAAATGTATGCAGTTGTTCCCTTTGTATCAAGGGGCACGTAGCTGTGAGCCAGACTCTCTAAGCTCCTACTAGGTTCCAGTATTTTTTGGAAATAGTTCCAGAGTCCACTAAAGACTCCTTCAGAAGGAGACCATCAATACAGATCCAATCCTGAGCTCTGTCTTGCAATTTATAATCCATTTCTGGCCCGTGCCTGGTGGCTTGGCTTACATGCCCATGCTAAGCCCTGTTGCAGGGTGTTTCATTTTAACTTAGCATGTGGTGCAAACCCAGCCACTGTGGCTTGTGAAGAAAGATTTGAGGCTTAATGTGCTGTGCTAGGAGTCCAGCTAATTGTAGCTTATTCAGCAGACCATGGTAAACGAGAGCTTTGCCAAGTGTGTGGCCTTCATTCTTTAGCAACAGCCCAGACGACTGCATGAAAAAAAAAACTACACTGGGATATATTTGCAAACCACTTCTTTGTCCCCTCTCAGCCACTCTGATGTTCTCCAGATGTAAACCTTAGTTCAGTCATTCCCACTCAAGGTCCAACTGATCTGAAGAGTTACTGGGAGACAGGAGAAGCTGTGGGGAGGTTATTGATCTTCCTTGTCACTGGGACAGGCAAACAGCATCTGGACTAACAAATTCCAGGGATCGGACTAACAAATTCCAGGGATTGGTCACCACTAGCATCTATTTGGGGAAATCTATGTTTTTCGACAAACGCAAAGCATAAGAACATCTGCTTTGCTGTGTGAGAGAATATGAAAACCAGGGCATTTTGTTACAACTGGACCTAAATCAAGACTCGGTTTTCAAAACTTTGATCTTTGCAATCCTGTTTACATTAGTACATTTACAGAGCATAATCTTCATGGTGTTGAGTAACTGCAACATGATACGTCATAACATAGGTGAGTTTGGGCTTAGAATGATTTACAAAGCCTGGTATAAGCCAGAACATTTAGAGACCATGATTGGGACCGGCAACTTGTTAACTGAAGAGTCACTAAGAGAAGCACGACTATCCTTAAGATCTCACTTCAGTTTGCCGAATTTTGAAGGTGGTATATTGGTTGAGAAGTCAAGTTTTTTTTATCACTGTTGTAACTGAAATGGTCACTCAATGAGGACTACCTCCGAATCATCGTGGTTTACCCAGGAACAAAATAGTGGAACTCTGGCACACTGAACTTTACTTAATTATTACCAGTTTGTCAATTTCTGCTGGTCATTTTTCACTATGAAATAAGACATTTAATTGCTAGCAAGTTGCTTTATGTTTCATGAGTCCCCCCCCCCCCGGTTTCTTTTATGCCTTCAGTTATCCTGTCTGAAATAGAGAATGTTTGGTGCTGTTCAGTTAATTTAAACAATTTTGTAACCATCTCCCATATATTTTAGCTTGTAAGATGTGCAAATGAGATAATCTTTGCAACCCAAATAAAATAACCCTGATTTAATATATCAGCATTTGTCTTCTTAATGAGTGATTTGTTTTCCTGATGTCCTTTCTCCTTATCTTTGAAATTAGGTCTCTGAGCTCCTAACTGCAGTTAGTGCAAAAGAGAAGCAGAGTTCCACTATTTTGTTCCAGGGTAATTTATTTTTGGGGACAACATTTGTACAATTCTAAAGTGATGTTCCCCACTGCAGTCTAAAAAAATGAGGGATGGCACACTGGACTTTTCTTACTTATTACCAGTTTGTCAGTTTCTGCTGGTCATTTTTCAATAGGAAATAAGACATTTAATTGCTAGTAAGTTGCTTTATCTTTCATGAGTTCCTTCTTTTCTAAGATTATTTTTTCCCCTGGTTTCTTTTATGCCTTCAATTATACTGTCTGAAATAGAGAATGTTTGGTGCTGTTCAGTTAATTTAAACAATTTTGTAACCATCTCCCATGTATTTTAGCTTGTAAGATGTGAAAATGAGATTTA